AGACCTGTATCAACGTTCTTGATCAAAGACTTGCAAAGTATGCCTTCAAAGCACAAGGATACTTCAAAAGCATGTCTTTGCAATAATCCTGCTAAAAATTGAATTACAAGATGCCAGTTAGCATTGGCTGCATTATTGTTGATAAACTGAACAACTTCATTGAGGTCATATGTCTTTGCAATTTCTCTGGCAGCAAGAAACTCTTGAAGTGTTAAATGAATAAAGCAATACTGTGATGCCCGAGCACATCCAAATGCTGGATTTTTTTTACTTGGCATGCAGTTGAGTAAACCACAGTTTTCCAATCCTTGGACTTCTTCCATCTCAAAAGCCAGTCGTTTCTCCTCCATTCCTTTCCTTGCTAGTTTTCCAAGTTTGGACAGTACTTCCTCAATTGTGGTTGAAAAGGAATCATTGGTATAGTCACTGCTTGAAATTTGGTGCTGATATTCTGGATTGTGCTTGAACAAAAACAGACGCAATGCTCCTTTGTAGATGTCAGTAAGAGTGGTGGGCAGAACTAAAGTATCCAAGCTGCTATCATGATTTTTAATGGAATTGTTTAACATGGAACAGACAATCCAGCAATTTACTGGAATGTAACACAGATACAATAGGTTCGCATTGCTTTCTATGTGCTGCCAAATCTTGCTTGCTTTGGTTGCATTATCTTTGCAAAACTTGTGAACATACGATTTGACTTTTTCTGGAGTAAAACCCAAAATTTCAGCAACTCTGTCAAATGGTTCTTTTAACATTCTCAGAGTACCCACAGCATTTGGCCTTGAAGTTGTCAAAATTGTGGCCCCAGGGAGTAGTTTGTTCTGTAAAAGTTTTGCATAAAGAGCAGTTACGGGCATTTCATCTGTCAATCCATTTAACCCACTGAATTTCGACTGGTCTTTGATCAAGTTTTCACGATACTTATATTCATCGAAACCATCAAAGATAAACAACATTGATTTCGCTTTGTTTCGCAAAATAGCTGGGTCTATATTCATGGAGTGTTCTGCTTCGTTGAGAAATTTCAGAAGTGATATTTTTTTGAATCTTTCTTCATTCAAATGTCGAAATCTAAACAAGAACACAAACTTGAATCGATTCTTTCTGTCTTTGCACCAATCGCGTATGATTTTCGTGCACAACGAAGTCTTTCCGATTCCTGGACGACCGACGACGAGAATATTTCGATAAGACTTGTTGTCAGAAACAAAAAGCTCATTCATGTTACTTATTTCAACCGAAGTTTCTGGTGGTTTAAGATAGACGTCTAAGAGTTCGTGTCTCTTTTTTGACATGTCAAAGTCATGCGTGACTTGACCAGAATACATAACAAGTTCGACATAAACATCGTCTATTGCTCTCCTATTGTCATCTTCAGATGGATCCGTCGGTAATAGCGGTTCAAGATGCTCTGTCTGTTGCAATATCGGAGCAGCAAGTTTTCTTCGCGATGAAGGAGTCCTTTGACTGTTGAAAATATGCCTTTGACAAAATTCTAAGTCTCTCATAAAAGTCTTGTCATGAGTAGCTTTTATAAGAAGATAAAACGCTTCCAGCAACACAAGACATGCAACGATTACATGCACAATCCATATTACATTTGTCCAACTAGTTTTCTCTGCAGCAAATGAGTTGTGACAGGTTATATTCACGGGCGATGAATGAGGATTTGTTGNAATACTTCAATAATATGGACCAATATGGGAAAAAGCAGGGATCTATGCGAAGTTCTTTTTTCGACTAAAAGTGTGGACATTTCGAAACCAAGACCATGCTAGCAGTTAGATTGAGAGAAATTAAAAACAAAGAATCTACAGTCTTGAATGACCTATGCTTGAACGACTTGAACCAGTATGGCTCTGTTGAAGATGACCTTTGAACGATAATTTATCGGGAGTTCGATAATGAAAGTAAAAAATATATTTTTGTATACAGTTTTCTGTGATTATATGAAGTTCGAGTAGTCCGGGTTCAAACATCGATTATTGAAACATTGTTGATTATTGTAAGCTTATGTAGACTACTTTTTGCCGAGAAGCTTTCAGTTTACTTTTAATCAATTGACCTTTATAGATTATAATTTTAAACTTCATCCAACGGAACAAAGTCTACCGAAGTCAATATTAGTACGAACTAAATTCTCATAAACATACTCTTTATAATATTTGTTCGCATGTCAAACAAAACTGTTGTAGCTCACATTCCTTAGAACAAAGCATCTACCTTTGAAATAGCAGTACTAGATAATCATTTTCAGCTTCATATTGCTATTGGAGCTCCGCTATTAGGTGTTACCTAATTTTTATATTATTTCTTTCCGGTTATTCTGAATCCAGCGCGCAGTCGTTTTATGCAGGGTCAAGGGCGTCWCACACTGGAGCCCATTATTTTGTCGGGAAAGAAAACAAGTCAGAAAATAGTGTCAAAAGGCTATTTCATTCCCTGACTTGCAATGTTTGGGTTTCATGTGACATCACATGACACTATATGTTATAACTATGTTATAACTATGTATATTTTAAAGATATAAGAACAAAAATGAGTGTATACAAGTCGTGTCACGCAACGCCGTCACGGACCTATGAAAAACAAGTACAATCAGTATTTTTCCAAGTAATTTGTGACTTTTAAAACAATATGAAACAAGTGAAATATAGATTCCAGGAGTTAGAAATATAAAAAAAGGCTAAAAAAAAACCCATTACTTTGGTTATTCAAACTCCTTTAGCAGGTGATCTATTGTCTAAGAACAAAGGCAATCATAAACCTTTTCTCTGTCCAGTATAATTTATACGATCGTTCAACCTTGACATAAAGCTATGCGCTTCTTATAAATATGACACGCCATTTTCTTGTCAGTTGTTTAATCCTTGCTTTCATTTAAACATGCACCACATCACAGAAATAGTATTAATGCATCTTTCTTTGATCGTGTAATCTTCAGTGAAGATTCTTCTAACACAGCATGAGCTTCTTCAAAAACNACAACTAAACTAGTAAAAGTCACAAATGCAAAGCCATACAGCGGTAGAGAAGCGTTGTATTCTTGGCTATACTGATCAAAACACTTTGTCAACAAGAATTTCTTGTCGTCGAGAACACCACGGTTGTTGCACTGAAATTGTTGCCTTTCATTTGTTCTGATACTGGTTATATAAAAGGTAACAATGACTCCAGCCAATACATTGAATACAGCAACGATGTATCCATACACGCTGAATCGTTTGGGGAGAAGAAATTCCTTAAGAGAATCCATTTTTCTCGATGAATTTTACTGTGCAAGGTTTAACGAAGAATACAATTGATGGGGAGTGGCGCAACCACAGGCAGCCCAGTAGCCTAAATATTATATTTCTTTCCGGTTATTCTGAATCCAGCGCGCAGTCGTTTTATGCAGGGTCAAGGGCGTCACACACTGGAGCCCATTATTTTGTCGGGAAAGAAAACAAGTCAGAAAATAGTGTCAAAAGGCTATTTCATTCCCTGACTTGCAATGTTTGGGTTTCATGTGACATCACATGAAACTATATGTTATAACTATGTTATAACTAGAGTGCAAGTCATATAAGCATGAATCAATTCTTAACTATGTAGTGCTAAATAAGATTTAGTTATCAACTAAATAAGAATTGAGAACAATGGTACAAAGGAATTTAAATAATTGGCATTGTGTTTATGCTTTGTTGAATTCTTAGTTAGTTGATAACTAAATCTTATTTAGCAATATATATTAAGAATTGTTTCATGCTTATGTGACGTGCACTCTATGTATATTTTAAAGATATAAGAACAAAAATGAGTGTATACAAGTCGTGTCACGCAACGCCGTCACGGACCTATGAAAAACAAGTACAATTCGATGTGCATAAATCATTTAGTTGCCTCATATAAACACATTTTATTGACTGTAAGAATATTCTACGAAATGTCAAAAAAACTTCAACTTATTGTCGTTGTAAGCCTGTTGACCGCCGTCTGGATTTCTCCATACATTTTTACCAAATCTTGCGTGTAACTCCGTAACGAAACGATCTACAATTTTTATTGTGTAGTWTTTTTATGCTCTAAAATGATATGATGTCATATTTTAATGCGAATAAAACAAAAATTGTGATGACGGATCTGAAACCGAAGAATAAAATTCGGCGTAGATTACCGCGGATTGTTAGGCGACGTCCAGTCGGTGTTCGGATTAACGAGGCTCTATGATACTTTTTAATAGGGAACTAGGCTGTAGGTTTCGGATCTCTGTCTCGAATTCAAGTCTTAACTCTGGATTGCAATTAGTATTTGCATTAACTGCATGCATATATAATAAGCTCTATGTGAATACTGAAGTTATGATGTATTTTGAAAATACTTTTACACTGTTTGAAGCACAGTACAGTGTTTTAAAAAATGCTATACAAGTCGGGCGTAACGATGTAACGAGAACTTACCAGCATGACCATCGTATTTCTTCACGTTGCCAAGAAAACCAACCAACCAACTAACCAATCACCATCATCATCATCACCATCATCATCATCATCATTATAATCATCACCATCATCACCATCATCATCATCATGCATGCGCACAGCCTCCAGACAAGCTTGACGGCGCCGGGTGGATTCTAAGGAAAAAAGGAAAAAGAATAATAATAATAATATATNGAGTGCACACAGATTTTCACCACAAATCCCACAAAAAATCCGGCCCCAACTATTCAGCTAATACTTTGATATGGCGAACAAAGGGTGACGTCACGGAATATATTATATTTTACCTCACCCTATTCAACTGAATAGGTGACGTCACTGAATGTATTAATAAAATTATTTTACTCAAATCAAGCGGACCTCAAATCAAGCGGTCCTCAATTCTCCTCAATCCTCACCGGGTGTCAGCTGTGCAGCCTTTACTACTTAAGTCATGAAACATAAGTTTGTCCTTTCGTCCTCAAGGGATCACTACAACACTACAGCAATTAAAACAGTCAGTCAAATCAGACTTACTTTTCTCGTATTTTCTTCATGACAGGTCCAGGAATATTGTCCTTATCGTACACTTTCAAAAACTCCAAGGAACTTCATATCTCCCAACATCTTCTGTGAACGTCCCCAGAAATCTTCGATCATTCGGCCAGACCCGGACGGGTCGGGTTTACGTTCTGGTTTAAAGATTTTTCATGATGCGCACGGCCTCCAGACAAGTTTGACGGCGCCGGGTGGATTCTAAGGAAAAAGAACAAAAATGAGAAAGAAAAGAGAAGAATAAACGAACAGAACAAAATAACCAAACCATGGAATTAATTACCATCAATGATTGAGATTAAAAGACTAAACAAGAACAACGTAAATGTAAGTACTGTAATAACCAGTAAGAAAGAAGGCAAAAAAAAGAACAACAGCAACATTGACAACAACAACATCAAAACAAGATTAATAACAAAAATAACCAAACAACAACTGACAAAAGCAAAAATCAAGCAACCAAACAAGAAATCAAGGAATCACGCAAAGCGATCTAAAGAACACCAGGAAGATGAATTACAAATATTCTTTAGATGGGTTACCTGTTGTGATGACAGTCTGTGTCCGAACATCGACGGATTCGCGATAACCGCGAATTTCAGGTCACGTTCATCTCATGTCAGTGCTCCTGCAAAACTTTTACCTACTTGCGCATCAAAGCTCTCTCGACTACTTGACTTGTGAAGGRAAAGTGTTATGCGCTAAAGTACGTACTTGCCACTGTATTATTGTTTTGGTGTTGGGAAGACCATATATTAGTCTATTATCTGTACATTAATTCTCAACAAATCTTGAGATTCGTTCCCACAACTGCTRCAAACCCTGTACTATGAAACACAGGCGCCAAGGAGTGCTAGAGCGTGTGGGATACCTGTGGCAATGATCGATGCGATTATACATCATTTTTTGATAGCTGATTGATTTAAGGTAGGTGTGGTCACGTGACCCCCAGCTGCAAAGTGCCATTACAAACAAAGACTGTGTCGTGAAAATGAAATAGCATTGTCGCAGCTTCAGGAAGCCCACGTAAGGGATCCATGATCATCTAGTTGATAAAGAAAAAGCACAGATATTTGTATAAATAAGTTATTTATTTCGATCAAAGATCGACACACTGTTTCAAACCTTACACGCGTTTCACATATCAAGAAGCAGGCGTTTAACGCCCAGTTATCATACTTTATCATCCAGTATAAATAGCTATAATACATCATATCCACAGATAAATTACACAATAACGCCTGACATTACAAAACTAAGCTTCGTTCTAAAGCAATAGGGCTTCAGATGACGGTCAAACAAAATATTATACAATAAGTAATTTACAACTCCACCGATACAACCTGATAGTTTCTGTATGCAATTTTCACGCATAGCTATAAAAATAGTTCAATTGAATTAATCGTCGAGTTGGCAGAGTAAAGCT